TAGATTTTTTTTTTATATATACAGTACTGGACAAAAGTCTGAGACCAAGGGTTGAAAAATTCAATCAACAACCATGTCAATTTTTTCCAATATAATTCATATTAGTAATTCAACATAATTCAGAACACAACAATTTATTGTCAGCATCACTGATGATGTGAGGAAAACTGATGAATAATACAGTTGTCATATATGTAGTATGTTGCACGCATAACTTCTTTGAACATTATATGAACCATGCACTATATTATTCGGTTTTGCGTTGATATTTGTGTTAGTTTATTACTGCGCGATGGCAAACTATAGATTACGTAATAGTTTATAGCAGATAATAAACATGAAAGTGTCCTAGGATTGACGCATATAAGCGCTGTTGTAGTATTATGTTGTTATATAAATGCATTACATATATACATACTGTATTGCATATTTATATAGTTATTGTTTAATGAATCTGGCATTTGCTGTTTGTGCTTCAAATTCTCATTTTTGATTTTAGCATTAATTTTCTTTCACTGAAATGTGTGAGTCACAAATATCAGTTCGAGCACAGATCAGTATTTTAAAAGAGGAGGGATACACCAAGAGAAGCATTGCTGAACGTTTGTCTGTTTCTACTCGAAAAATCGAGTTGTGTTTGAACTGCAGTTCATAACACAACTCGATTGCAGCAGACTGGCAGCTTGACTTCTCGAAAAAGATCTGGTAGACCAAAATGTACCTCTATGCAGAATGACCGCTTGATTCATCGCACTTGTACTAATTCTCCAATGTCATCATCCACAGTAATACAACACAACTTGCCATCCTCTGTTACTGTTTCCTCCAGAACTTTCAGACGAAGACTATCCTCTGATTTCAACCTGCATGCCCGGCGTCCTTCCATTAAACCTAGGCTTTCTGCCAAGAACATCAAGGATCGGATTGCCTTTTGTCAAAAGCACAAAGACTGGACAGCGTTGGATTGGGCGCGAGTAATGTTTTCAGATGAAAGTCAAATAAAGCAGTTTGCTCCTCTTCATTCTTTTGTTTATAGACCTGTTAATCAGCGACTAAATCCCAAGTACACCAAATGCAATGTTAAACAGTGCCAATCAATCATGGTCTGGGCTTCAATTTCAACCAGAGGACAAGCAGGTATTTGGTTCATACCTCCTAAAACAACCATTAATGCCAATGAATATCTGAAAATATTGAAAAGCAATTTGCTTCAGTGGCTGGCTCTTTCTGGTTGTACAATCTTCCAGCATGATGGTGCACCATGTCACCGGGCAAAGGTGATTACTAAATGGCTTGCTGAGAAAAATATTCAGGTACTTTCTCCTTGGCTGGGATCCTCGCCTGACTCAAATCCAATAGAGAATTGCTGGCATCTGTTAAAGAAAAAAGTAGCCGCTTTAAAGCCATCATCATATGATGATTTGAAAAAAAAGATAATGTTGGTTTGGTCCAATGAAATCACTCCTGCTTATTGTGAAAATTTGATCAATTCTATGCCCAGGAGAATTACTGCTGTGCTAGCGGCTAAAGGAATGCCATTAAAATACTGACATGACATGGACATTTTGTGTTTTATTTCACAAAGTATGTTGTACTTATTCCTAGTAATATGAATTATATTGGAAAAAATTGACATCGTTGTTCATTGAATAAAATTTTATGGTTAAAATCAGTTTTTAGCCTTTTTCAACCCTTGGTCTCAGACTTTTGTCCAGTACTGTATATGGGGCTCGGCGATAAGGCAAAATATGCTTTCGCCTTGTTCCAGCCATTAGTTTAGATTAATGGCCAGGGTTGGACTAGCCCACCGGGACACTGGGAATTTTTCCGGAAAGCTGGGCAACTTTTAAGGCTGTGGACGCCGGCTTCCGTCTGTTATTGTACTTAGTAAAAAAATAAAAAAATTCCCACTTAAAATTCCATCAACTCTTATTATTAATAAACATAAAACATTATAAAAGTATAATTTTATGACGTGTCATGAGTACCGTAAAACTGGTAGATAAAGATGTTAAAAGAAAAAATCACTAAAGCGTCAAAAAGGATTTTTCTGAAAATATGTCTTGTTATCAAAATTATGTTTTTTTGAGAATATGTTCTGGGCTCTCACAATGCTATTTGTGTTTTTTTAAATTTAAGCATATCGTTATCCGGTTTCCTATTATGTAATATGTTACTATAATTGTTACTACACACATTTTAGTTCATAAAAGAATATATTTAGATACAACTTTTAAATTATATATTCTGTCAGTTAATTAAATCATCAGAAATAAGTTTAACAAACGCATAATAAATAGAGCACTCTGATAAAAGAAAATTTCGTGCATAAAACAAAGTAAACGTAACAAAATAACATTGATTAATGAAGCAAAAAAATATTTCAAAATTGATAAGATGTTTAAAACACTTAAAGTTTACCTATTCAATATGTCGCAATAATTAATTGTTTTAAATACTCTTCGTTGTTATAACTTATAAGTTCCGATTTTCTTACATATTTATATTTTTTAATTAATGACAGCAAAATACCTAGTTGATTCTAAATAGGTTTATGACCTATTTGATTCAAATAAGTTCAAATCTACTTCAAATTTGAAGTAGATGATACTTTTAATGTGACCAAAGAATATCCTAATTAAATAAAATAGTTTGTTTTTTTAGCGTTTATTTTTAATTCATTTTTTATTTATAATTTAAAAATGAATGTGTTGAAATGCGCAAGACACTTAAAGACAGTGGTCCTTCCTTTGAAAATGAAAACTTTACACCAAGTAGGCTGTGAAAAAGGTTTTTCGACCTTGAATTATATAAAAAATTGTCTACGGAATTGTTTATTACTTGACAATTTGGATGCTTGGATCTTAATGAGTTTAAAGACATTTTAGAAGAATGTTCATTCTTCTAAAATGTCACACGGAAACATTATTGATGTTGTAAAACATAGTTCTTTACTAAAAATTTTTTTTAATAACTTAGATTATTATACCTCATTAGTTATTAAATATAATGGTTTCTTTATTTGTATGATTTTTTTTTATTTGTATTGTTCTATTAATGTGTTACAGGGCTCCTGTTCTTCATTAAAAACTTTTAAACTTATTAAAAAACCTCAAGAAAATTAAGAATGATTATCTTCTTGAGTAATGAGTTTATTCTAAATTTTTAATACATTTTTTGCCGTTTTTAACTAAATCTCCTTGAAAATTAAGAAAGTTTAACAAAGCCTAAAAACTTGTTAAAAGACGTTTATTAGAACTAGGTGTTTTTTATAAAGAAACTTCAGGCTGTTTCATTTGGGTCTGTCGATACAACCCCCCATTAATTGGATTATAGAAAAAACTGTCACTCATTCTTTTATAATATATATTCAAGACATTTAAAAAAAATAAGAAGGGTAAATAGGCTGTTGCAATTTGATGAAGCCGGTCACTAATGGTCCCGGTCCATGTTTTAGAGCTAGTCCAACCTTGTTAATGGCATTAATTTAGATAATATATTTGCAATGTAAACATTATTTAACGGTGAAATAACACACACACACACACACACACACAAAATCCAACCCAGTGGGCTTTTGAACATTCACAAGACGTCCAAAACGTTCGAAAGACGTTTAAAAGACGTCTAAAACGTGTATGAGATGTTTAAAAGACATCTTTTTTACGTCCGTGTCCATTGGAAAGTGATGTTTTCATAATGTGTGGAGAATGTGTTGATAATTTATGTGTTGATTGTAGGAGATGTTTTCATTGAGATAAACCCCTGTAAATACAGAAACGCCAATAAATACAGAATTGTTGATTTTAATACTGTAAATAGCAATGATTTTATTGATGATTTTCTGTATCATTTAGTCCTTTATTATATGAACATAAAAAAATATGATTTTATCACTTTAATGAATCTTAGATTTCTACTTTTATGACTTCCTTGGACCAGCAAATTATCAACTTTCATATTTTACTTTAAAGAGTGTGAGGGTTGAAACAAAGTCGGTAAAAAGGCATAAGCATTTTATATCAGTGTTAGCCATTCCAGAGATATTTTTGTCAATATATTTATGCATGATTAAAAGTTGTATAGAACGGTAATTTTTTGACAAAACCTTAAGTATGGAAAATTTGGCGGGAAATGGCTCTGAAACAGAATAAAAAAAACATCAAAAATCATTTATTAAAAAGCCTTAAGGTAAAAAAATCAAATAAGCTTATTTAGATGCCTACAAATGTTATTGGATTATTTATTGAGTTTTATAAATTATTTTACAAAGAGCTTCCTCTAATAATTATTTTTTAATTGCGTTTTTCCTGAAATATGTAATGAGCATCTTAACGTCGTACAAATATTTCTTTTAATTCAATCAACAAATGTAATAAGTTAAGGTTAAGTGAGTACAATGATTTTTTTGTTTTACTTATATTCAATATTTAATAGTTTTATAATTAATAGTTATATTCTCAAACATTTGGTAAAGTTGCTATTATTCTCAAAAAGCCTTGTTTTCATTTAACCAATTCTATGTAGCATCCCAGACAGCATGCTTACATAGGACCAACGTTGAGCCAATGCATCATCATAATTTGGTCTAACGTTGAAAGTTGATGTTGGCCCAATGCAGGTTTGATCATTGGTTAGGTATTGGCCCAACGTTAGGTACAACATTGGCTTAATGTTGTATACAACGTTTACCCAACGTTGGTTAAACGTTGTATATAACGTTAGGTTAATTTTGTATACAACATTGGCCCAACGTTTTATACAAAATTGGCCTAACGTTGTATACAAAATTGGCCCAATATCGTATGTTATATATCGGCCTAACGTTTTATGCAACATTAGATCATTGTTACAAATAAGATGATTTGCATCGCTACATTGAAAATCTATAGAGAAAAAAAAGAATGTATGATACAAGTATAAAAACTTATTTATTTAACAAAATTTCTCAGTTAAATATACATATTGCAAACACCAAACTTAAACTAAAAACTGACACATTGAGTTTTAAATAAAAAAATTCACTATAAAATTTATAGAGTAGTTTCGATATTGGCTGAGCTACTTTTATTAAATCGTGTTTAGCTTATGATATTTGGTGCCCACGATTTCTATTTTTTCTTCCACTATCTCTATCACATGTCTGTATAAGCCATGTCTATTTGACTTCACAGTTTCTGCAAAAAAAATGGTGTTTGTTTAATTATGCACCAAAGAAACATAACAAATTGAAAATAATTCTGTAATGCAAAATTGAAACTGAAAAAATAAACTTTTCTAAACCACTTACCAATAGCAACATATGCAATCAACATTTTTCCTATTCCAATTTTTGTCCTCTCCCTGCATAGTTTAATTTTACAGCTAGGCCATTTTAAAAAACTATTCTTAGTAAATAACATATACAATCTCCTTCGTCTTTAACTCCAATTTGTGCCAAATAATTGATCTGCAAAAATACACAGCCTGGCAATAATTAAAGTAACTTTTGTGTAGACTTAAATTAATATAAAATGTCATTTACAAAAAATCTTCAAAGAGTATTTTATTTAAAGTATATAAATTGTACTAAGATATCTTAGTACAATTTATATACTTTAAATAAAATACTCTTTAATGTTATGCATTTATATACAAAATGCATAAACAGATCATAAAAAAATATTAACCATTTACTTTTTCTTGTCTTTTTTCTTCCAGAGTACTTGAATTCTTCACTGCTTTTAATGGCAATGATACTCTTTCAGGCAATACAATAATTAGCATACCTTTGTTACTCAAATTTTTATAACTGAATTTAATGTGTTTTGTAGTTCACCAAGTTGCACTTCAATGCTTGCCCATTTTGCCAATAATACCAGCATATCTTTCAAGGATACAACTTTATCTTGAAACAATTAAGTTAATTATATTATTAAGAAACTGTATAACTAATTTTATATTATATTTAGAATTTATGAAAGTAATACAACAATCACTATGAAAACAGATAAAATTGAAGACAGAGGGGCAAATTTTTAATGATAAAAATATATACTTGCTAATGGATTCATAATATTTTTATGAATTATGAAATTTGCTGGTGTGCATTCAATTTCTGGCACTGACACAAAACAATTCTCGTTAATGTTTAAGCACGGCTGTTTCACTCAATTTAAAAGCAAGCTTGACGTCACATTTGTTTTTGTGTTAATCAAAAAAAAAGTATTTCCGCAAAAGTTTAAAAATGCACTAACTTTAAAATAATAGTACTTTTTTCCTATAAGCGCTTTCAATAAAAAAAAATATAAAAGACCTATCTTTTTTTAAAAAATAAATATTTACATTAGACGCAATAAAAATATTATTATTTAATTATTGCTTACGATTTGGGATCACTTTTCTGTTTTTTGTGGTTTTTACAGATAACCTGTCTTGGTTCAACTAAGATTTCATAACATAGCTACATGCCTCATGGTTGAAATTTGGAACATTTATAAATATAGTTGTCTATTCTATCTAATTTTTGGTGGGGATTACTTATTTTTTAACTATTTTTTAATGCATTTATATTTTTAATTTTATTATTAAATAATGAAAATCGTATTATTTTTGTAATCCGCACCAAATTATTGAAATTTCAATCCTTTCTGTATATAAAAAACAAAAGATTGTTTGATGTACCTCAAGCTATGTTATGAAATATGTTTTCAAACTTGGCTAGTTTAGAAACAAGTTTTTCTAGTTTAATGCGCAAAACATTGTTTACATTTCAAAACAATCACGTGACCTTAAATTCTGTTAGTCCCAAGCAAATATGTAATAAATTTTATGAAAACAACTTTCTTAGCGAGACGAATTTTGAAGTATAAAATAAACAAAGCTAGGTGGTTTTTTCTTTAGAATGGTGCATAAATTTATTATCTACTGGGTGTTCAAAGAATGTTTTCTACTTAAAGAGCTTATTAGTGGATCAACTCATTATAAAACAGTTTTTTATGGGAATAAAAACACATTATTAAACAATTTAAATTAGCTATTTGTATATTTAAAAAAACGTTTTATTTTTTGTGAGAAAAGATTGATTCAAGTGCCATAAAATAATTCTATTACCAAAAGCGAGGTTAATTCAAAAATTTTATGTCAGTTTTGGTCATGTATTATTTTTTAGAGTTTTTATTTATTAACAATCTTAAACCATATTATTAAAACTGTATGCATAGAAAAGAATTGCTTAAGTTTTTTAAAGGCTTTAGCTTAAAATGTTAAGACTAAATAATTCAAAATCGAAATCTGGATTTATTTTTTAATGCATTGAATTTATCAACTTTGTGAACTATTTTCTAAAACAAGAACTTCTAGATTTAAAAATGTGTTCATTTAACAGCTAATCCACCTTTTAACGACATTTTTCATAATTTTGCAAAAAATGCAGTTTGCTTGAAGACTTGAATAAAAACTGTTTCAGTTAACCTTTAACAATTAAGTAAGATTTTTTTATTTTGATAATAGTTAAACTCTGAGTGTATTTGATAATAACTATCAGAATTATATTTTTCTGATTTTTTTTTTGATAAAAAGTAACAACAAATTACTAAAATTTAACCAAGTTCATCATTTGTCACGCTTTTATAAACTAAAATAAGTTTTTTTACTGTTATACAGGGTGTATACTTAATTTCTGACCCCCTATATCTCGGTTTAAGAATACGGTATTTCAACACATACCATTTTACTACTGTCATATCAATTTAATTAGACAAAGAATATATGTTAATAGTCAGTAATCAGTATTTTGTCCATTTCTTTCTATGCATTGGGTAATTCTCCTTGGCAGGCTTTCTACTAGGCGAAAACACTCTTCTTGCGTAATGGCAGCCCACTCCTGTTCAACACGTCTGATCAACTGTTCACGATTACGAGGTCGAGGATTGTGTAAATCACTGTCCTGGAGTCTTGATTAAATATGTTCGATGACATTTAAGTCGGGCGAGTTGCCAGGCCAGTCGGTCCACATTGCTGGAAAGTCTCTGTTGATCACATTCATTGTTGCTCTTGCCGTGTGGCAAGTTGCTCCATCTTGCATCAGAATAACTTTATTTCTCACAGGAAAGATGGTCTTATCATCAGCTGCACGTTTGTACACAGGTAGAATAATATCACGGTAATATTGTCCATCAACAGTTTTATTTTGCTCAACAGCAACCAGATCAGTTTTGACATATCGAGAAATGCCGCCGGCTATCATAATCTTGAGACCTAATTTCGGACGTCGAACATAAGGTATTGACTCTGGTGTTGCTGTACGTACTCTTTGATTTTGACGGTTTGGAGCCGGATATAATTCAATTGGACTCTCATCAGTCCACAATACGTGAGCTTGTTTCACTTTACCATCCGGTGAGTCATCTGCGAATCCTTCTTCTTGCAGACGAGTACAAAAATTTACGCGATCAGTGATGTTTTTCTGCGACAACATGGGTTTCACTTTCTGTGTATAGGCATGCTTTCCCCATGTGGTCTTGCGCAAGTATTTACTGATAGCACTGTGTGAATTTGTCTGAAAAATTCAGTTTCTTTGCTACAGTTCTCGTTCCAACTCCGACTTTGTCTTTGACCCACTTTCTGACCTTGTCCTTGGTTCTTGGTGAAAACTTTGTTGGCTTTCCAGGTCGCTAAGCATCTGTGACGTCACCCTCTTGTTTTCTTGCCCACTTCCTAACAGTATTTCGAGAAACTTTACACTGTCTAGTGATTTCTTTAATGCTTAATCCTTGACTACATAAAACTTGAATTCGGCGACGAAGTAACTGTTTATCAGAACTCATTTTCAGAGCAAATTACTAAAAAACACAAATACATGTTAGTAACATATACATATAATACATATAAATATACACAGAGTAATTAATGTAAATCATAAACAGACACCAAGTATCACCGATATAAATAAGGCAAATTAAAATAATGCTGATTATTTCTTGTAGCCAAAATGCTAAACATTAAAAAAGTGTAAACTTAATTTCTGACCCCGGTTTCGAAGAGTAGCAATACGTCATAAACAGTGAAGAAAAAATGAGTTATTAATTGGCAAACTAAGATCACATATTAAGGAGTAATAAGGACAATTTACTTAAAAATCGTGCTAAAACTATAGTCGTAATGCCAAAGGCCGTGGAAGATAAGGAGAATGAAAATATCATTTTTATGTATGTTGACAAAATGGCTCCCATAAACATTTTCTGAGGTCATATCTTATCTGAAGTGAGCGTTTTACGTGCAGAAAGTATAGTTACACCAAAATACATACTATAGTATTTTTCGGGCTAAAGTAGCATTTAAGAGAGCAACTCAAAATCTTGTGTTTGTAACATGTGGGGGGTCAGAAATTAAGTATACACCCTGTACAAGAGAGTGAAAAACATTTCTCCTTTAAAAAGTTTTATTTTTATTTTATCTAAAAATTGTTTCTTTTATCTAAAAAAAATCTTTATTTTATCTTATAATTTTATCTTTTCTAAAAAAAAAATATTTTTTTCAAATTTCACTTTTGAAAAAAGCGTGACTCATCACGTTTTCAAAATACAGCATTCAATTGTGATACGAGTAACTTCTTAACTAGAATTACTGATTTTTCCATGACTATCTAAAGAAAAAAATAATTGCCTGACTTTTCCAGGTTTTCCACGACTTTAGCCAATATTAACAAATTTTCCAGATTTTCAAGGTACAGTACGGACCTTGTCCAATCTTTGTAAATAATTTTTTTTACATATTTTAGTTCTAAATTTTAATAATACAATTTTTAAAAGTAATATCATCTATAAAAATATTGTATTACCTTTGTCTATTAGATAAATTTAAATAAACGTTTATATAATGAATAATAATAAACCACCAGAAACTGTTAAAATTTTAAACTGATATGAATACTCTGTTGTTTTTTTCAACAGTTGATTTCAAATGGATTTCAAAGTTGGTGAAACCAACTTTGAAATCCAACAAATATTTTTTGTTACGTTCATAAACTTAAATGTTCTCAAAACGACTAAAAAACCTGGCCAGTTTTTCGCAACTAATTATAAAATAAATTAAATATAATTTACGTGGTCAGTATTTGTGAGCGATCGCTCCCACTTCCCGACCAAGCCTGTGGTGTAAGCTTTGATATGGTGATTACACAATAAAATGTTAATTAACTTTTTGACTTTTTAAATGACTTTTTGACCGTAATATATGAAAAAGTTTTTAAAATTGTAAAAGTTAAAGCTATGAATAAAGATTTTCAATCATCAGACATAAAGACTTTTATATAAAACTTACCATTTAATAAATTTTGTTCATTCAACTTCTCAGAGCAAACATTAAACTTCTGTAAAGAGTTTGGAGTTACAGGTAAATCCCAAAGTTTAATAATATTTTTTGTTTTATTATAAGAAATTGAGGATAAATCATCTACATCAAGATATACACAATTTATTGTCTCTTTAATCTTTATATTGGCTGGTCATTTTTGCTGTCTTCCTTTTTTGTCTCCAGAGAAGAAGTTTAGCTCTCTGCTAAATTCAATCTTGTATTGCTTTAAAAATCAATAAATCAAATTATTAATAATTAAGTTATAACTAAAGCTAATGTATAAGCTTAAAGTTGTTAACTGTTGTACGCAAACTAAATATGAAAAATATCCAGAGATATTAAATTAAAAAATAATAAAACCAAAAATAATATCTCTCTGCCTCAGAAAGATGGAATATTAGAAAACTCTACATATGTAGAATATAAATTCTAGTGACATCACTTTTTGTACACTGTTTTAATATGTTAGTAGATGGGGTTTCACAATCAAACACAGAAAAAATCAAACAAAAGAGACATATTTAAAATGTAAAATATCAGCTTCTAACAACTTCAATGCCACGTATATACGCTGTGGATAACCTACCGAAAGTCGGCAGCGGAAAAATACAAATTTTCCTACCGAAAGTTTTTTTTATTGGTTGAGAATATCACATTTCAAAATAAACAATATTTATTATACCGTAAAATGAAGAAATTTTAACATATTATTTTTAAAAAACAAAAACGAAAAAAATGTAAAAATTAAATAGGATTTTCCATTAAATAAATAGAAATGACTGCCACCCCATACCAAAACCCTCAGTCAATGCATGTACACTTTACTGGGCCTATCCCTAAATTAGTAAATGAATGCACACTTCACTGCGCCTATTCCTAAATTAGTAAATGAATGCACATATTACTGCGCCTATCCCTAAATTTGTAAATGCATGTACATTCCTCGGTGCCTATCCCTA